TATAAAAATGATACAAATAATTACCAAAATTCTTTCCCCATCAGGAACTTTCCCTAAATCTAGAAAATACTCTAAACCCATAGATCGATCACCATAGAATTCTTTGAATTCAAAATCATAGAGTAAAAACAAAAGGGATGAACAAAAGGATCCTTATTTGGGAGCAGAAGTCGACGTCGGAGAAAGCAATGTTGGTTTTAGAAAAAAAAGAATTATAAGGAGAGGTCGACTACAGGGAAGATTTGTCATTCAAGTGACCTAAAATCATTTTTTCTATAAATGCATGACTTATTTTATTGTTAAATTGTTAAATGGTTGGCTGCAATCTTAAAAACTTCACGGAATATGTCTAGCATACCTGTTGTTGCTTAATCCTCTCTCGAACTTTGTTAGTCTCTTCTTAGTTGATGTAGTTAGAATTAGGATTTAACTCGTTTTTTATATATTAGTTAAGAGGATAAGTCTGGAAGATAATCTAATAGCATTTAAATAGAATTGAAATGTGCAAGTTAACATTTCTATTGGTCAAGGAGAAAAAAAAAATGCTATTTAACTTTTTTTTATTATCAGAGTATTTGTGATAAATTTTAATTATTTAAATAGAAAAATCAAATAAACTAAACTTAAACAAAATCAGATTTTAAATTATAATTTAATAATTTAAAATGAAAACATAAATATCCATTAGCTTTTTATTATCAGTTTTTGAAGAATTTTAGGTTTCAAAATCAGTTTTCTTCCCATCGTCCCTTGAAGAAAATTGTGGTTTCTCTTTATTTAAGATTTTGATGGCAAAATCCAAGGTAATATTTCTTTCAAATTTCTTGCAACTTAAGGCAATCTTGTCATCTTAACCTTACTAGTTGTTGCTCAAATAAAAGCCACAGGGCATACTCTTGAACTCTCAAATGACAGTTCCATTGATGGAGTTCATGTGAATGATTTATGCTTTTCATTTCCTAACTCTTTGCATAGAGATACTCCTGAAAGCCCAATATCACCAAGTCTACCAAATTAGGTTAGTGATTCAGATGATGGGAATGGTATATTTGAATCACCAAAACTACCAAGTTATGTTAGTAATTCAGATGATGAGAATGGTATATTTACTTGATACTATCAATCCTTTTCCCACTCCATAATTTTAGAACACTATTGAATTGGTTTTTATATTGATGGTTTGTTTGCAGGTAATTAAATGTGTAGGTGATTTGATGGTCTGTCTATTACCAT